TATGTCATATTTGTCAGATTTGTCCAATTTGTCATATCGGTCAGATCGGCCAAACATTTCAAATCACATGATTGGTTATAGTTGATCGGTGCAGCATAGATCACGCCTTCAGCAGCACAAAAATCCTTCCAAAATTTTCTAGAGGAAGATTTAATAGAAACTTCTTTAAAGGATAGCACAAGTCTAATATTCTCTGTTAAAGTAATATTTAGTGTAGGAGGAGTGAGTTGGCATCCTTGTTTTGGTAGTTTATCAGCTTTATCATTATAAAAATACTCTGAGTGTCTATTAACTTTGATAAATGAAACTTGTAGTTCGAAGGAGATAACAATATATTTGATCAAAGTCCAAATAGTAAAGGTTGGGGTTTTCTTAACAGAACAAGTCGTATGAACATTGTAAAACAGACTGTGGAAACCTTGAATTACAGCTTGGCTATCCAAGAAAATTGTTGGTGATGAAAAAGGAGGACAAACAATTAAAGCAGTCAGTAATGCAAATAATTCAGCTTTTATTGAGGATGGATGATGTTGAATGGTGATAGAAAAAGAGTATTGATCATGATTGTGTAGATCAGAAGAGATCCAGCTAATTCTCATATGACTATTGACTGTTGTAGCATTTATTAATGAACCATCAGTGTAAATGTTAGGTGAATTGTTACAATTAAAAAATATACCAAAGAAAGTAGTAGAAAGTTGTTGGAGTTGAAGTCAGTAGGAAGGTTGTTCGATAAACTTATTGATTAAAGTATGGTTGATAAAAGTTATAGAAGGTGAGACTAAAAGCATCATAGGAACAATTTGTTGTTATTGTTGTATTTTAAGTGAATGTCGTCCAAGTAATCGGTATTTATGGGAATTAAGGATCTCTTTTAGTAATTGTGTCATAATACTTATTCCTTTATTTAGGTGTGGAGTTTTGGCTTTTTTAATTATAACAGTGTGAGCCAGATCACAAGACTGCATACATGTGACAGATTTCAATGAAGGGTAGCCTTTTTTAAAGTGAGGTCTTTTAAAGGCATCCAAGAGTTGTGAATTGTTGATATCACAACCGTCACAAGAAATAAGAGAGCATTTTACATGTTGAGGAAGGATTCGGTTATTTCTAGAAGCAAGGACTAAGTGTTGATAAGCCAGTGAATTATCAGCAGTATATTTTCTCGGGATTCTTCCAGTGATTGGTCAATTTGATTGGGTGTGAAAAACTGACACAAATTCTCTAGTTTTACTATTAATATCTACATTTAAACTTGGAGAAAAAATAAACTATTAGAAGCTAGTCTAAAAATATTTTTAACTATATTATTATTAGGACTATCTAAGACTAAAGAAGAAAATAATGTATAAATTTTAGGAAGTTTAGGAGAAGGGAGTGAAAAGGCAGAGTAGCAAGAATAGCTAATTATTTCAACCCAAGAGAGTAAAGAGAATCTATTAGTTGCCAAAAATCGATCGAGAAAAATCAGTTTGTATTTTTTTATCATGATTATTGATTGAGCCAATTGTGTTGATATTAAAATGGAGTCCAAAGGTAATGAGCTGCCTTTGATTTTATTTAGTAAAGTGTCATTCAGTCTGAAATTGATGTTTATACAATCATGCTTGAGTAAGCTGATCATTGCTCCAATTAGATTTTTATTATCATATGGTCGATTCCAGCATGCCAAAGGAGAAACATGGAGTCCTTCATTAGATTGTAACTGAAAAAGTCTAAT